CAAGACTAGTGTAAGAAAATTCATGTATTTTTATAAGCAATAATTCTGAAATGCATTTCTGATCACATCACCCCTGATCACGGTCCTCATTCTCCATCACTGGTTTCTGGGAGAAGGGCCTGTGTGGAGTGGTAATGACTAAATGCAGTCATCCATCAGACCAGAAGTAGACAGAGGAGCTCACCGTGGAGGGGAGAGGTAAATTTGTTCATTTTAGCAATGTGGAAGAAATAAAACTTTGTCTTGGGTTTCAGTTTGCAAATTATTAGAGGTATGTCATTTGATTCCAGCTGTTTGTAAAGAATGATGTGAGAAAAACAGAAACATCTCTGAACAGTCATCTCAAATACCAGAAACCATTCTGAGATTTCTTTCTTTTTGGCAATATTAGGGTTTGAACTCAAGGCTTCACAGTTGCTAGGCAGGTACTATACCACTTGAGCCACGCTTCCAGCCCTTTTTGCTCTGGTTATTATTTTTTTTTTTTAAGATAAGGTCTCACTTTTTGTCCAGGCTGACTTGTATTGTGATCCTCTTGTTTTATGCTTCCTGCTGTAGCTGGGATGACAGTTGCATACCACACTTCCAGCTTTTTTCCATTGAGATGGGGTCTCATGAGCCTTTTTGCCCAGACTGGCATGTGAGCCACAATCTTCCTGATCTTAACCTTCTGTATAGCTGAGGTGACAGGTGCATGCCACTGTACCCAGCTATTTGTTGAGATGGGGTCTCACAAAATTTGTGTCTGGGCTGTCCTCACATTGCAATCCTCCCACTCTCAGCCACTGATGAAAAAATGGATTTTTATTATGTGCTATGTGAGAAAAGTTACATTTTTTGTTTACTTATACTTAAAATGATTATTAAACTTAAATTTACACTCTCATTTTCACCTGTTTTAAAAATGCCTTTCTATAATTACCTAAACATGTCTCAAACACCATGATGTACAAACTGTGACCTCATCTTTCAGCTTAGTAAACATAAACTCTGAGATAATTTAATAATAGCAGGTGCCTTTTTACCTTGTGTGTGATGCAAACACAGAAGAAGTACTTAGTTATGACAATAAAAAGCAGTGAAATTTATTCTTGCTTTAAAACCTACTCTGACTGTTGTTACATAGGTTATTCTCTTTGCCACGGATACTCAGTGTCTTCTAACTTTTCTAAATGAGAGGAGGACTTTTCCAAATAAAGCCTGGAAACAGTATTCAGGCCTAAGTGTCTACGTTGGTTATTTGAGTCACTGACCTCATGTAAATGAGTTTACCAAGCTGCTCTGGGTGTTACTTACAAAAGTGATTGTTCCCTTCTGTAAGAAGTGAAGCCTCAGTCCAAGTTCAAGCACATCATTTTATAGATTCCATAGTTGGATGTGGGAAGGCCAAGGTTTACAACAATGACATAGTGCTGAAGAGTACAGTCTGAGGATTCATACTGACCTGATTCAAGACCATTTTGTGTGGTTAAAATAGGTGACAAAACCATAGGTTCACAAGTCATACAGTCCATTGCCATACAGAAGATTACTTTTTATTCACAATGCTCAAAGAAAAGACTAGCAACAAAGAATCTCACAGGATGCACTTGGTAGATGGGAAGTTCCGATTTCGTGTGGGGTGCAATTATTATAGACTAGCTGCTCAGTCAGAATGGAGGCCTTGGTGAATGTAGGTCTGACAGAAGTTTGAGGAGTACCATTCAGTGAGAGGTTCTCATGGAGGGATGGTTTGACCACCACAGCCAAGAGCCGTAGTGACACACAGGACCCTCAACACTGGCAAACAATGCCAGTGTAGGCAGGTGAGGCTGGCAGAGGGTAGCTTGTCACAGCCTAACCTCTCAATATGTTTGGTAAACTTGTGGATTCATATGTGTTTTGGAGTCCAGTGGTTGAACCCAGTCACTCACACATGTGCCCTAATAAGGTGTGATATAACATTCTCATGGGAAGGGCAGTTACACTTCATGTTTGTACCACACAAAATGTGTCATCATGTAGTAGACTGTGGGTGTGTGGAGTCATTTCAAAGCTACATTGTAGAGACTCACTATAAAGCCACAATAATGAAGACAGAATGGCATTGGTGAAAGAACAGACACATTTCTCAATTGGAACCACGAAGAAGACCTAGAAATATAGTCAGGTGAGCTTCGACAAAATGCAGACTCAATTCAACAGAAAAAGGAGTCTTTTTGACAGATGAATGATTGTATGTCCATATGTGGAAGAAATGAATATGGGTGTAGGTCTGCACTTTTCATTAAATTAACTCAAGATGGACCATAGGTCTAGACATGAAACACAAAGCTCTAGGCTCTAGATGAAAGCCTAGGTATCCTTGAGTTTGGCAATAAGTTTTCAGATGCAAAACCAAAATATAATCCATAAAGAAGAAAATCGGTAAGTTGTACATAGTTAAAATTAAAACCTTCTGCTTTGCAAATGACATCGTTAAGCAAATGAAAAGATAAGCCACAGGCTGGGATAAATATTTGCAAAACCTATATCTGATAAAGGACTTGTATTCATAATGCAAAAAACCTTAAAATTCAACAAGAAGAAAACAAACTTAATGTGCAAAAGAGCTTAAAACACAAGGAAGATAACGGACAGCCCTATGCATATGAAAAGATGTCTGGCCTCCTTTGTTGTGAGGTAACTGTATGTTAGCATAGCATGACATCCTGCACATCTGTTGGGATGGCTGAATCCAGAAATGCTGACAACTGCCAAGGGCTGGTGAGTTTGAGGCGCTGATGGGAATGCAGATGGTACAGCTACTTGAAAGTTTCTCACACAACTAAAATAAATAGTCTTACTCTATAATTTCACAGTTCTACTCTTGGGTATTTGCACAATTGAGTTTAAAGCATGCACACACAGGGTAGGACATGGTGAGGTGTGCCTATAATCCCAGCTACATAGGAGGTAGGAGGATCATGGTCCAAGGGTGGTCCAAGGGTGAAAAAAGAAAACCCATCTAAAAAATAACCTAAAGCAAAAAGGGCTGAGATGTGGCTCAAGTAGGAAGAGCACTTACTAGTGCAAGGCCCTGAATTCAAACTCCAATACCACTAAACAAAAACAAAACCATGTACACACAGAAAGCTGCAGATGAATGTTTACAGCAGCTTTATTCATTGTCACCAAAAACTGAAGACAACCAAATGTCCTCAGTTAAGTATGTTAAGAAACTGGTGCACTAATGCAGCTCCTCAGTGGTAAAAAAAACTGCGCTGTGCAGCCATGGAAAGGCATGGGCGATGCATGTTAAACATGTATTGCTAAGTAAAGAAGTCAGTCTCAGGAGACTGTACACTGGTAGCCTGTGGTTCCATTCCAGGACATTCTGGAAGTGGCAGAACTCAGAAACATTAAAAAATCAGGAATTTGGGGGGAAAGGAGGTTCAAATGGGTCAGGTGTGGGGGATGTTTTAAGGCTATGAGAATTATTCTGTATGACAGTTTAATGGTAGATACATGACATTATAATTTGTCAAAACCCATAATGAATTCTCACTGACAAAAGACTCCTAACTGTATTTCAAATATATGAAAGCCCACCCTGAAGGGTATGTGGGAGGGGCTGACCTACGTAATGCCAAAAGTGAGTGCATGAAATTAGATACGATACACCTAGACATTATACTTCGAGTGATAAAATTATTTCCCACTGAGGGCACAATTTAAACCTCCTGCTAACTCTACACATATATTCTGTAATGGAATAATTCAGTACATGGGTAGCCAATGGTGGAAGCCAGATTTTTCCTTGTTGAAATAGAAATGTTCAGAGAAGCCAGAGGAAGAGAGCACAATGACCCATTTGATAGTGGATTAGCTCTAGAGATATCAGTATGAACCTGTATTTACATTAATATAGGCACAGAGGGTTATATGGAGAAATGTTAAGACGTGCGTGTACACAGGTCAGTGTACACACAAATACTTTCTTGCGCTCTCAGCCAAGAGGGTCTAAGAAAATGATACAATAGCAAAGTCCGCCTGGCCCCCAGATCTCTGTTTCCAATACCATTTTCCAATCAAAGGAATCGGATTGCTTAGAAAATTGGCTGGCTCTAGGAAGGGGACAGGAAATACAAGTCTACAAAATCTTGTACCACAGAAATGAAGGAAGTGCTATATATTCTCCACATTGAAGGAAGTCAAGGAGCAGAAAGCCAATCAAAGGAATCTCCAGAATGGCCAAATCTGGAACACCTCAAACAACAAACAGGGACTTGCACTGTAACCCAAAGTATAAAATAAATATCTATAAGTCTAAATTGATATAAATAAATGGGCCCAAAAGACAAATCTCCTGGGAAGAAAAATTCCAAGTAATTTACTAGAAACTCTGACCTCCAGGAGGGAGAACTTAAGTACTTCTTGAGTGTGGGCTGCATGTCACATAGTGACTTCCTTCCAAAGAGCTCAGTAGGAAAAGAAGGGGAGGGAACAGTAACTTTACACTGGACAGTCTTGAATAGCACTACCTCAGCGAGGTGGTCAAGGTCAGTACCACAGTGATGTCATGTTAGTAGTGTATACCTTAACCCACCTCTAGTCGTGAGAAACCAGCAGACAAGTCTACTTGAGGGCTTCTGTGAAATAACCAACAGGTACTCCTCAAAACTGCCAAAGTCACCAAAGCAAGGGAAGTCTGAGAAACTGTCACAACCAAGAGGAGCCTCAGGAGAAACAAAGCCCAAATACAATATGGTGTCCTGGAACAGAAAAAAGAACATGAGGTGAAAAGTAAGGAAATCTGGGTAGAATCGAGTTTGGTATTGGTTAACTAATTGTGTCAAGTGTGCTATTCTAACACAAGATTTTAATAACGGGAAAGTGGGAGTGCAATGTGGGAACTCTCTGTACTATCTTCTCAGTTTTTCTGTAAATCTAAAATCGGTCGTTAAAAAGCCTATTTTAAAAAACTGAAAGTATTACTCAATGGCCTTAGAATAATCTAGGGGTTTCTGTCTCTCCTGCAGTTTTGACAGTGTTTCCTGCCTTGCTGACTCTACGTCCCTCTCAGACATCACGTTTGATGGCAATCCAATAGCTCAAGAGTCATGGTACAAACACACTGTCCTTCAGAACATGATGCAGCTGCGCCAGCTAGACATGAAGAGAATCACGGTGAGAGCCTTCAGTGTTTGCATCAGGAAGCGAGGGCGCCTGGCCTTTGCTTGAAATGCTCTTGATGTGTCACGCTCTGGAACTGGCTTATCATGACCGTATACTTCATGTTGATAAGTGGAGTTTTTACCACGTGCTCCTGTCTCCAATCTTGCTGACTAGGGCTTTTCAAATCCCTAGCCTTCTACTTTAGTTAGTCATCGTGTCTATTTCCCATTTTTGCTTAATATCCAACCAATACTTTCTTTGGAATGGATGAGTAAGAGTTTCATTAACTAGCACAGTGTAGTGGTAAGAACTCTGATACTGCACCACTCTTCCTCAGTCCACAGCCTGGGCCTGGCCACATTTTACCATGTGACCTTCAGCAGGTTACTCAATCTTTCTACATCTCATTTTCCTTCAAGTAAAGAAAGAATCATAATTATGTCTTAGAATCTCTATGCAGATAAAATAAAAGAATAAAACCTTAGGTGAGCATGAGGCACCTGGGAAGCTTTGTATGGAACTATCATGGTGTGACTCCTCCTCCCTTTTAATCATCCAGTGCCTATTTGACATTGTCTATGCTCAGATACTTTGATGTGGCTGCTGACTAAGGGAAATCAACCCAGCATATGGTGCCCGGCTTTCTAGGTGCACAGTGTGTGTTAATCAGCATGTCATTGCCCCAAGCAGCTCTGAAGAGACTTGCCTGGCTCTATTTGATTGTATCTAAGTATTTTGTGTTCTCAGAAAACATCTGTTAGTAACCTCAGTTCCATCATCTCAGCCCCAGAAAAATATCCCAAGGCTCCATCTGTTTTTTTTTCTCCTCAACTGTGCTTATTTTGATGTAGGCCCTGCAGCTAGGTTTACTCAGTTGCCAAGTGACTTATTCTGTGTAGACCAGCTTTACAGTGTGTCATTTTACTTATGCCTCAACAGCAGTGTAGACGCCTAAGTGCCTAGCAAATACTTAAACATGTGGATGAATTCGTGAATACCAGGGGTCTCCTAGGGTCCTCCCTCTCCCTCTGTTTCATGATGGAGATACAGTCCTCTCGGTTTGTTTTGTATTTGGGGTACCTCTTTACCATTATCCCCATGTCCTTCTTAGTTAAGCATCCTAGGTATTTCTAATTGCTCTTCCTGGTGAGGCTGAGGTAAATGGGAAAGGACAGGGTTGACCCATTCGTATAATTAGTACTGAACTATATGTGACATCTCCATAGCAAGTCCACATCAGATTGTCTAGCCAACCAATCTTCAGTCTTCGGGGACAGAAGCCACCTTCTTTCATCCCTAACATGTTCCCTTTCCTTCTCTAGCTCACATGATGCTGAGGGTGTAGTCTAGCTTGCTAATGCTCAGAGTGGCATTTACCTGGCTTCTGTGGCTAAACAAAGGAAACTGACACTGTCCACAATCATTGCCCTTGAAAATTCCAGGTGAGAAAATGGGGCCTGGGCACCTGGCAGTGAAAGAAGACTATCTGTTCTGTAAAGAGAGAGTGACAGCATCTACAGAGCACATAATACAAATATAAACACAGAGACCAGTGGTTCCTTCTGTGTTTCATTTTAAAATTAATTTTTAATTGGAAACCATCTCACAGCTACAGAAGAGTAGTGCACTACAAAGCACTCGATGCTGAGTGGATCTCCCAGCAACTCTGTAAGCAAAGACTCCCCTATAAAACCACAACGTAACCCACAGATTGAGAGATAAACACTGGAAAAATCACTGCACCTAATTTTCACACCATATCTGCCTTTCACTGCTTCTCTGAATGATGGCCTTCACAGTTGACTTACACAGATGACTTTGCCTTATCCTCATAGCATCTGTCAGGTATTGTGTTCCTGTTTATCCCTTTCTAATGAAGGTGAGGCTTTCTCCTTGTGAACTCATTCTTTCCCTTCAGAATCCCATTCCTCATAAAAATTTCAATTTATTTGTATCAGTATGAATCTTGATAACTAGTCTCACTTTTTGTGGATAACTTTTTAAATAATTTAAGTGGGAAAACAATGTCACTCTTAAAGGACACTGTAACAGCTGTTGACAAACAACAGTCTAAGAGCTGGCCACCTGGTTTTGTAAAGTTGTACTGGAACACATTCCTGGTCACTGGATGAAGCCCACAGTTTGATGTGTCATCTGTGTCTGCTTCACACTGCAGTGGTGGAGTTGAGTAGTTGCTAAAGAGACTGAAGAGCCTACAAGCCAAAGCTTTTGCTGTGTGACTGAAAAAGGTTCCTGACACCTGTCCTGTAACTATTTTTCCTCTTTAAAAAATATGGATTAAATTTTTGTATAAATTTGCCACATAAACGTTCTAGCTGAGGTGGATTACCCAAATATTTAATGACCTATGCACGGAGGCTGAGGCTTCCACGTTGTGTCTGCACACACTGGGCACAGTGGCATATTTTTATTTTCAAGGTAACCAAGCAGTGAGACTTTGAGCAAACCAGTAGCTCATGGTAGATTGCTTCTTCAGCACTGGAACATGCTCCCTTCCTTTCTGTTGCCTAATATCTTTGCAAAGCTGACTTTTCAGTGGACATTTCAGTGGTGATAAAAACGAATACTGTGCCCAAATCAGTGGGGACCAGGAAACAAGGGGGCAGCATCCAATCTGCTGCTCAGTTTGAGAACTTTGAAATGCCCTGAAGGCCACACACAACTGGTAGGTGATCGTGGTTATTTAATACTGTAAAATATGTTTCTTTCAATTTACATGTGTTATTTTTTCAGATGGCTGTTATGTTAGTAGGACATAAATACTTACTCAGTTGTTTGGGCCTAACCACTTAGTAAACTGAACTGTTATGTGTTTCTTTTGGCCTAGAGGAACTGTGAAAAACTTCCTGAAACACTCTTAAACTGAGAGGTCTCTGTGCAGCGTCGTGTTAGACACTAGAAATGACAGATCACAGTTCGTACCCTAGAGTTACTTACAGTGCCCTGCAGAAGCAAGCGTTGGCTAGATCACAATGCAAAGTGACCATCCAGTTAGACGAGAGAGCTATGTAGAAATGGATACTATAAGGCTTACAGGCTCCTCAGTCTCCAGCAACTGCTCAACTCCACCACTGCAGTGTGAAGCAGACACAGATGACACGTGAACAGCAATGTGTTCCAGTACAACTTTATTTACAAAACCAGTGGCCAGCTCTTAGACTGCTGTTTGTCAACATCTGCTATAGAATGTCCTTTCAGGGGACATTGTTTTATTCTGTGTATGGCTGTTGTAGAACAAGGTGTTAGACTGTTAGAACAGTATTCTGTGTGCACGGACCCACAAGACAAGACCCTATCAAAGAGCAAAGCAACTCCCGAAGTCCATCTGAGAAATAGGAAAGCTCTAAGGCTCAAGACCTGGAGAGACAAAGAAGGAGGATGCGTCTACAGACAGTAAAGGCAGCGAAATACAGTGGAGCTCTGAGAGTGTTCAATGTGACTAAGCACTGAGTGGACGTGGGGAAAACAGTGGGAGACAAAACGCGTCTGACAGGTGAGGACAAGGACTTTTTCTTATCATACGGACTCCAGGTATTCTTTTATCTTGGGCATGAAAGGTGGAGCCCTCTAAGCAGGTAAAATAGTTTGCCTGTTTAAAACAGTATCTTATTTGGTAGCAGCCTGGAGGATGGGTGATATGATAAGCGAAGGGCTCAGCCCAGGGTCAGCTGTGCCACCCTGACCTGAAAAGCGTCCGGAGACGTGGTGATGCTGTTCTATGGTCATCTCTCCTAGGAAGACTGGTTTTCTTCTACAAAGAATAGAATACAGATTAATAAGATGAAAGCGAAGCCAGCATAGGTGAATAAATGGGCTTGAATCAGGCCCACATAGGGCAGGAGTTGACAAACTTTGTCTGTAAAAGACCTGAAAGTAGATGTGTTAGGCTTTGGATCTAGCTAGTCTGCTGAGACTAGCTGACTCTCCCCTTGTACTGTGAAAACCGACATGAGCAGTTCATACGTAAATGATCTGCCTTTGTTCCTTGCAGCTTGGCCTCACGGGCTGCAGTCTATCAATTACTAAACCATTGGCAGTTGTGTGTGGACATGATGCAGAGTAATAAGACAAGGCAATCTAATCCTGTCTGTTTGTCACAAAGGCAGATAGAAACTCCCCAGACTGTGTCAGTCAACTTGATGTTGATTATGAAAGAACTCGTGTGTTATCAAAAGATGGCTTGTGAGCACTTCCAGAACTGATCACTAGGAGGCAGAATTCCTCCACTAAAAACAGCTCACGCCCCACTATTGGCTTCCTGTTTCAGACGTTTTTAACTGATGTGTGTACATGTTTGTGGGGTGTAATCAATGCACACACACAATGTGTGATGATCAAATCAGGGAGTTATCTATAGACCCAGAGAAGTGCTGTAAACAGTGTTTTGGTACTTAGGCAAAGCATTTGGCAGAGTCTTTTACGACATCATTTTGAGTAAGTACTGGGGGTCCTGGGTGGCCTCAGACCACTATCCTCCTACCTGTGGCCTTTTGCATAGCTGGGATGACAGGTGTGTGGCACCATGCTAGGCTTATTGATCAAGATGGGGGTCTTGCTAATTTTTTTTGGCCCAGCTGTCCTCCAATCTTCCCTTCCAAGTAGCTGAGATTACAGGTGTGAGCTACCATTCCTTGCTGGCTAAGTGGATTTTTGGTTCAAGTATATGTACAGAAGAATGGAGTGATGGTAGCCTTTAGAGAAATCTCTACTGACATGCCATGAGAGTTTTTCCTCTGGCTCATTCTGTTCAACATTTTTGTTCATGTCTGCATGAGAAAACATTGATGTCATTCTGATAAAGTATGTTAATGACAGGAACTGGAGAAGTTAAAGATCCTGATATACTGTGATCAAATCAGAATCCAAAAGTAACCCAATTGTGTAGGACAGGGCTTGGCAAACTACAGCTTGCAGGCCAAATCCATCCTGCAGTCTGGTTTATACAGCTGTCAAACTAAGAAGGATTTTTATATATAGTTTTCAAATATTATAGAAAAAAGGGAAAATGAAGAATGTAACTAAGGCAGAAGTGTTGACTGTCTGGTCCCTTGTAGCTGACCTCTCATCTAGAAAAGTAAGAAGAATTTAACAAGATAAAAATTAGATAAATTGAAAATAGCAGACTTTACCCCTGACAACCATCGGAGAACAATCCTCTGCACAGATGCAGGACTCTAGAAGATGAGCTTGTGTTGGAATTGACAAGTTCAAGTGGAGGTGATTACAAGAAGTGATGGTTAAAAGTCAGTGTGGCTTGAAACACTGCTTATCTATAGGAACAAAGAAATCAGGAAACCAAGACAGGCACCCCACTTCTTTCTTCAATGCTCAGATCTCACTTGCACTATTATCTTAGGGTTTAGAGGAGTGGCAGCAATCTGGGGCATTTCCAGAGCACCTGGCTTCATGAGCTAACAGAGGGGAAGGTAGAAGGAGATACTTAGTGTCCTGTCCTGCAGGACACATCAGCGTGGGTAGCGAACCTAGAAGGGGAAGAATGAAGGGACAAGAGACACGAAGGAGACAGCAAGACAAGGGTTCTGATCAAGCTGCAAAATTTTATTGTTCACACAGGGGTATTTATGTGCTGAGGGAGTGAGGGGTACGACGAGGTGCAGGCTGGTTGGCTGGTTCTGCTATAGGACTTCTGATAGGGTGCACGTTCGTGCCGGCGGCAAGGTAAACTCCCGGAAGAGAAGCAGGGACGGCGCCATCTTGTGCTGGAGGTGGAGAAGTTGGGACAAACAACCGTGGCAAGGTCAAGACAGAATGGCTCACAAAGGGAGCCTTGTCTCCGACAACTTAGAAGATGTCATCCTCCAAGGATGTTCGAAAAGGGGTAATAAGGCCCGTGTGGTGGCCCATGCCGGTGGTCCCAGCTACCTACATGGGAGGCTATAGGTTGGAGGAGCTAAATCAAAGGCCTGACCCAGGCAAAAAAACAGGACCCTATCTGAAAAATAACTACAGCAAAAAGAGCTGGGGGCAAGACTTAAGTGCTAGAGCCACTGACTAGCAAGAATGAGGCCAGAATACCTCATCTCAGGTATGTGGTAGGCAATACTGCGGCTGGCAACGTTTGGTTCTCTTACTTCTCTTCCCATCTGAAGTTCCACACGGTCATGTGACTTGCTTTGTCTAATGAAATGTGAGCAGAAGTAATGACTGTCATCTCCAGGCAGAAGCATCTTCTTTGTACTTTTATCCCACATTCTGGTCTTTATGGAAACATATATCCAGTTGAAGATTCTGTCCAGTGAAAGCTTAGCCACTACACTGAAGACAGCTGCAGTGTTCTTTGCATGACCAAGAAATAAACCTTAAAGCCTCACAGTAGTGTCAGTTTTAAAGTTGTTACACAAGCATAAGCTCCCATGTTCCAGCCTTCTTTTTTCCACAGTATTTGTTAGCTGATATTCCTGGGCAAGTAAAGGCCAGGTGGCATGGTTTCTAATCTTCACTTCAGCACTAAGACACTGGAAAAATCACCTGCATCTGTTAAAAGAGATTGTTTGAGTGGAAAACATTGGCTATCTCTTGAACAACAAAAACCTAATTTTATAGTCTGTTTGATATTGTTCGTACTGAAGGCAAACAATAACTGTTTATAACTATCTGTTCTAAAGAATGTTAATACAATTACATTGCCACTTAATTTTTTTAATTCCACGTAGTAAATTGCTGCCTATATTAGGACTACTATTGTTTATTTTGGAGCGAAATAGCTTTTCATATAACATGTATTGTTGTCAGCATGGCAACCTGCTAATGTATAATTTAGGTTATCAAACACTGTGAAATCACTGCACTGCCTAATTAATTTGAAACTATTTCTGCATAGTGGGTCTTTGTGATCAAACTACAGTAAGGAAGAGTCCCATTTTACTGGTCCCAGCTAGATCTCTTTCTTTTGCTACATAAAGGATATGGCTTTTGTCCCAAAAATTGGACTAGTATCATGAGGGTGCCAGAATTTTACAGTTTTTTTTCTTCTTACCAACAGATTTATAGTTTATCTTCACAATTAGAGGTTTATTTTTGCTTCTAAATTTAGTTATTTGGACTGAAATATAGCCATCAAATGTAAAAATTGCTTAAAACACTCAATATTTAAATTGATTTGGTGCAAGTCCAGTTTTCCAAGGTTTAGGTTTCCTTTTAAAGCCCCATTGCCTTTAATAGAGGCTCAAGTTCTTTTAGAAAATCCGATGAAATCATGACTTAAGTATGTGCAGTACGTGATCCACACAGCTTACAGCACTGTCTGAAATTGGCTCCTGAATCACCAGTCTGTTTGTAGCTCACATCTTATAGATGAGTTAACACTGAGCATCAGTGTGTTTCTGCTGTTTTAAAAAATGTTTACTGAGATAGGTTGTACTCTGTAGGTTGTACCAAATCAAGCTATCTTCTAAAGCTAGGAAATGAAAACATTTAATTTTTTAAATTCAGCTTACTTCCCATTACCTATGTTTAGTTTTTTTTTAATTAAGAATGCTTATTTTCCACATTGTAAAAGGTACTTTAAATTCACCAAAAGTCACATTAAATTCCTATTCCCTTTAAGACAACTAAGTCATAATCAATAAAATACACTTAAATATATCTTTATTATAAAAAGCAGCACAATTTCCATTTCTTGCAGGCCATGGCTTCTGGGTCAGGTTCTGGCTGTGTTGCTACCTGTGTGACTCTGGACATATACTCACTAGCTCACTCCTTCAGTGTATATTTATCAAGAAGCCATTGTGTGCCAGGAGCTAACATGACCCACACATTCATGGAGCTCACCATGTGGGGTGGGAGGCAGGAAGGATAGTGCCAGAGATGACGAAGCTGGGAACGCCTGTGCTGTGAAGGTGTACAGGAAGTTCCCTGATCTTGTTTCTAGTTGACTGACTCTTCAACTGTGTGTAATCTGCTACTGGACCCTCTAGTGAATTTCATTTCATTTCTTGTCATTTTTCATTTCTAAGAGTCCTGCATGTTTACTTAACTCTATTATGGTTTTTACTTTTCTGTCTCTGAAAATATTTTCAAGTTTATATTTTGAAGGAAATTGTCTTCTCATGTTGTGACATCATTTTCAGTACCTATAAATGTTTTGGTAATGAGAAATTTAAAGATACATGGTTATAATTTACTCTATTAAAATTTGGCATTCTTCAGAGGGAAAATGGTCCAGGCCATATATACAGAATACAACTTTTAAATTTTAAAGTGATACACCACGATTGTAAGCTTTGAGCTAGAGCACTGCAATTATGACTGATTCTTTTTAACTTTGTAAGCTTTGTAGTCTTGTATCTGTGAAGCTTACAAAGGGAGGCTAAAATGTATATCTTGTAGGTTTTATTTCTTCTAGATTTACTGAAGTATGATCAAAAAACAAGAGTCCAAGGAAAATTCGTATAAAGAAAAATTACACAACCCCGCTCCCCATTTCTTTCTCGTGTTAATTAGCTGTGTTCATCTCCTCTCCAGAGAGTTAAGAACACACGTAAGAATGCATGAGTTTTTAGAATTCGGAGGGGACAGAAAAGAAAGAGAGACATACCAACTTTTTCATTGAGGGCATTTTATTTTATTTTTATTTTTTAGCAAGTAGTATACCCTGTAGAAGAAAGCCATGAATCCAGGACTAAAGATATTAGCATTGAAGAGGGCCAAACATTAAACATTTCATAATGCTTTCTGAATTTTTTTATCTAGGAAGAAGAAAGGCGTGTGGCATCTGTTGTAGCCAAAAAAGAGGAAGAGAAGAAGCGGGAGAGTCAAAAGCAGTCACTCCTGAAGGTGTGTCCTGCAGCCCGCCCTGTGTGTGTGGTGCCCACAGCTTCCTAGTCCCTGTAAACAGGCTCCTCCAATGCTTGCAAGTCACCGTCTTTAAACAAACCTGTTTAAGGGCGTATGTTAAAAATACTTACCTAAGCTAGAGATTTTAAAAGAAGAGTTTAAAAATGAGTGGAAACTGTAGTATTTATTTTCGTACAAGTGCACATCTTGTGTATCACACACGTGAGCACTTCACCTTTACTGATAGCTTTTAATTTAAAGAACAGTTCCTGTTCTTTTCATGATAGCTTTTTAAATTTAAAAAGTCTCTCTATTAGCTCTTTGGATATAGAACTGGTAAAGATCTTGAGGAATTTAGGAAAGAAAATGTATTTAAACTGGCTTTTGATGATTGAGCATATCAGATATTACTAAATGACTTGGTTTAAGATGTTTTATATTAACAAAGTTTACCAAAGAGAGGTTCAAATGTATAATTGTATTGATGCATTTTAGTGTCAAGGCTGTCATCCCCATTGTCTCTGCTCATTGTGTTAAATAGGTGCCTTTCTCTTTAAAATTAAATAACATTCAGAATTCAAAAATGACAAGTAGATGTACAAAGTTGTATGATATGGTCTTAGAAAACCAGGACACATTCTGTGAGGATGAAAGTGTTCTATATCTGATGGGAGTTAGGGTTAAACAAGTATATGCATTTGTCAAAACCGATCAGACAGTACATTTCAAATCTATGAAAAAAATGATTCCTAAATTAACAGCAAACCACAAAACAAGACTTGTCCCTGAGCCAGGAACAATGACATTAAAGGTAGTTAGTTAGCTTATTAAATGTGTGGCAGATTCCTCCCCTGCAATTTTCTGTGGCCCCAGAGCGCCTCCCAGCTTTTGTTTTCCCTTATTCCATAATGAGCTGCCCCTAAGCCCTGTCCTGCCATATCCATCTTTTCACTGATTCAGACAACAGGATTCTAGTCTTTCTCATCCTGGAATACCCCTAAAAACTGGCCAAAAGTAATGTGGCTTACAGGAAATATAGCTGTAGGCAGTCCTATTAAAAATCTGAAAGAGCAAGATGACCATTGCCAGGTAATGCCATTGTCGAGCATTTCCAAGTGCCTCAATTGCTGGTGTCTGATGCATAAGTGAATGAGTTAAAAAATGAGTAAAAGAACATACACACATACATAATAAAGTTCTTGGGCATACAGAACACTTGTATGAGAGACCTAGAGAGTAGAAAACACTACTAGATCTACCTTACTAATTTTTTTTTCTGCCAACCCTTGTCAGCCAGAAAGCCAAATGCATGGAGCCAATGACCTTGGTTCTGAGTAAAAATAACAGCATTGCTTAGTTTAAGAATTTGGTTGGGCTGCGTGCCAGTGGCTAACATTTGTACTCCTAACTACTTGGGAAGCTGAGGCCAGGATGATTATGGTTTGATGCTAGACTGAGCAAAAAGCTCTCAAGATCCCATGTCACCCAATAGCTGAGTGTGTGAACAGGCCTGTTGTCCCAAGCTACACGGGAGGCTGAGATTGGGAGGATCAGGGTTCCAGGCCAGTCAGGGCAAAAAGTTTACAAAATCACGTATCAATAGAAAAAGCTGGGCATGGTAGCAAATGTCATCCCAGCTCCTGTGGGGAGCAAAAGTAGGCTGGCAGTCCGGGCTGCAAGAGCAAAAAGCGAGACCCTGTCTCCAAATAGCCGGAGCAAAAGGAGCTGGAGGTGTGGCTCAGGAGACAGTGCTCCTACCGTACACTTGTTCAAACCCCAGTCTTGCCAAAAAAATTAAAAGAATTGGGTTGGCATAATCCCCAGCAGATAACTGAAATAGAATTTAATCCTACTTGCTTTGGATAGGAGGACATTCATAAAACATCAGAAACATCTCAAAAGTATATACGTGTTAAGGGCGACCCACTTAATTATATAGACTGATGTAAAATACCAGACAGCAGAAGAAAAGATTCCAGGCCAACAACGTTTTCAACCAGAGAAATAAAAGCCTTAAAGTTTACTTTAGGGGTTGGGAGGTGTGGCTCAAGTGGTAAGAGTACCTGCTTTGCAAGCTCAAAGCCCTGAGTTCAAACCCCAGTCCCACCCACTCACCTCCTCAAAAAAAGTTTAGTTCAGTTCAGTAAGCCACATTCCTTGTCATTCCTATCCAGTGCCACACATGCTTGCTAAAATCTTAGAAAAATAAATATAGGCAAGTAGATCTATCTAAAAATAATGATTCTGAGGGAACGGACAGACAATCTTTGCATCCATCTTCCCTGGCTCCAGAGCGAGCAGAGGGCTCCATGTCCCACTTGGCAGACTTTTCACTAGAAATCTGTACTCTCTGGAAAGAGGAGAGGGATTTTGAGCTAATTCCTATGCCATTTTACAATGCTGACTTTGCTGATGGAGACTTTACAGCAGAGTTCTTTATCACAGTTACTATAAACTGATTGCAAGTGGAGTAGAGACGTTAGTTTCCTTCATAGCTTGACCAGCTTTTCTCAGTAGGGTTTCTGGGTGAGAGCTGAGCCTTAATGCCCTCAGTGAGTGGTTCTCAGAGTGCAGTCCTTGAATGAGCAGCACTGGCAGTGCCTGGGAATTTGTCAGGCTTTCAGGCTCCTGAGCCCCACTCAGAATGCACTAGGGCAGAGTGGGGTCAAGTTCAGCCATCTGCTCTAAAAAGCCTGAGCCACTCATCACTCATCACAGCCAAGTGAACCTCTTCCTCTTCTTATAAACTATGTATCTAGAGACACTCAGCCTAGCATGGTTTCTTTTGCTAGTCTAGATAATATTTTTTCATTTTAAGACATCACAGTTTGTGTTGTGAAACTTAGAACTGATGAATCCCTCTCTTCCTCCTCCCACCCCCCCCAACCAAGATCATCCTAATTATTTGGTAGAACAATGTCAATATATTATCATTTTTTTCTTGCTTGGTTTAAAGACAGAAGCATATAAATTTCTGTCAAATTAAAATTTCAGGTAGTAAATTTTCACTCTTCAAGGTTTATATATTTACTTTTAATAAAATTAAAATCCTAAGAAGTAACTATTGTTTGCGTATAATATTTTTCCTTTAGGGTGATAGACCATTGCTAAGATGCTTGAACATGTGGGATAAATATAGGCCTCTGAACTTAGTTTTAGAGTGTGCGCAATGGTCTTTTTTGAAGCATTACAAGAAGGCACAGAATACGCTCCTTGGATTCTGTCTTCACAGATTTGCGTTATATAATTCTTGTCGCAATTAACTTTGTGTAGGAGAAGAAAAGGTTAACAATTAACAACGTGGCTCGAAAGTGGGACTTGCAACATCGAGTGGCTAACATCGCTGCAAATCAAGCTAGAAAGGACCCGGACGCTCCTCCCCAAGACCCCTGTCCACTCGACGGAGGCCCCATCTCTGCCCTTCCTGAGGACGCTGGGTGCGTAGGCCGTCGTGTGCTTTAGAGAATCGCATTTGGAGTGCAGATGGGAAAACATTCCACGTGCAATTATTTTACAAGGGTAGTGTTTTGAAGAAAACTTCCTGAAGGTAGAAGTTGCAAATAACAAGTTAAGATGGAAAAAAATAGAAAGTATAAGGCTGAGTCTAACATTTCCCAAGTGTAAAAATCCTTTGGTGGTTTCCTGTTTTTCACACCAAGAAAGCCTAAATTACGTAGTGTAGCCTGGAGGGCCCTCTGGCCACTGCACTATCTCACCAGGTCACCTGCCTCTGGAACTGCAGCCATGCTGACCTTCTTCAGGTCGGTTACTTCCCACCTCAGCACAGTCTTCACTGCCATTTCCTCACCCGCTTCCTTACCCTACTGTAACTGACCCCACCTCACTCCAGGGGTCTTGTGTTCAGCCTCACCCCATCCCTAAAGCGTCCTCTAACTGGAGACTAACTATATCAGACTCCCCTTTTATCTCACCCTGCTCTTCCTCTTCATTCTAACTATCCCTGTGATTAAACCACCAAGTGGTAACTCCTGTGTCCTATCTGTTTTGTCTGTGAAAACCTCATGAGAACATCTTGATTTCCTTGACCTCTGTGTATCCCCAGCTGCCAGTACAGAACCTTACTTCTTAACCAGTAGTAGTGAGCAACATGGTACAGAATCTGAAGAGTTAGCTCCAGTGGTGTTCTGTGTCATTCCTCTATTCCTGCGACTCACGGCCTCTTTTCTCAAACCACAGAGCGACACTTCTCTTCCCTCCAGGAGGTGTACTGGAATCATGAATGAGAGGGGCTTAAAGCATGCTTATCTTTGTAGTGTTTGTGCATGTAACTTAAAAATAAAGCCTAGTCATGTAAGTTTTACTTTGAAGTACTTTCATTTTATTACCTTTGCCAAATGTTGAAACTCATTTCAAACTAAATATATTACTTTTATTTCAAGGTTTTTGGCTAGAATTCTTTTTTTTTTTTAGTGGGGCTGGGGTTTGAACTCAGAGCTAGGACTTGCAAAGCAGGTGCTCTACTGCTTGAGCCACATGTCCAGTCATGGCTAGAATTCTTTAATACTTTCATATGTGAAAAATGTACTAGAAATAATTTAAGAGGCTGGAGTTAGTCTGACATATATTTAGACAAACTTTTAATTTTAAAATTTTAGTTATAGGAATTAACTTAAATGATTCAATGTATTTCCTTTAGCTTACCTGGGAATCCACAGGAATTGCTTCTCAGCTCTTTCAGATAGAAAAATAAGGCAACACGAATAGAAATTCTAATTAGGTGATGATTTATATAACTGATGACCATTCTAATACAGCTGTAGAACAATATTTGATATCATTTAAATATCAAAATATAATTTTACTGTGTAAAGATATAGTAACAACTGTGATTTTTATGTATTTATTTATTTATGGCAGTATACCGGAGTTTGAACTTAGCACTTTATGCTTGCTGGGTAGGTGCTCTGCCACGTAGGTGCTCTACCACTTGAGCCACATCCCATCCCTTTTTACTCTGGTTGTTTTGGAGATAAGGTCTCACTTTCTGCCTAGGCCAGCTGGGACCAGGATCCTACTTTACAAATCCCACTGTCACATGCCACCATGAGATGGAATCTCACTAACTTTTTGCCCTGAGTGGCCTTGAGCTGTGATCCTCTCAAGCTCAGCCTCGAAAGTAGCTAGGATTACAGGCCTGAGCCACTAGCTCCTGGCTTGTAACACTTTATAATCTTAAAACTTTATAGCATTGGGCTTTAGGTTTATAAAATCTAGTTGAAGGTGAGGAGTGTAGGAAGTGAGAGGTAATAAATAAAGAGCTGAAATAGTGGGAATTTATGGATAGTGAGTTTTGACCTTGAAGATTTTAGAGGTAGAACTTATCTAAGTAATGACATTTGGAAATATGTGATGGGTATTGTGGTCATGAAAGTGGAGAAAAATAGAAGGTCACTAGAAGAGAGACTGTCAGTTGAGGCCATTACTGTAGACTGAAGTTACTGATGGAGGAACTGGGTTGGAACTAGGCCCAACGTCTTCAACACTCCTCAGCCTCCTGCCTTCCTTGCATCCTGCACTCATCGCTCCACTCACTGTCCAGGTCTTTACCAGCATCAGCACCTACAGTAAGTGCAAGCACAGCTTCTTTATTAAATGGCTCTTTTCTCTGGAAAAACTCTCTCTGATAGATAGATTCCATACTTTTTTATGGACCAGTACTGGGGTTTGAACTCAGGGCCTTGTACTTACTAGGCAAGTGCTCTACCTCTTGAACCATGCTCCCAGCCCACTTTGCTCTGGTTGTTTTGGAGACAGGGTCTCCCTTTTGGCCCAGACCAGCCTGGACCATGGTCCTTCTATTTTAACATTTTCATTAACATATATTCATTGTGCAGAAAGGTTTTATTGTCACATTTTCATATATGTTTATAATGTACCTGGGTTAGGTTCATCCCCTCCATCTTCTCCCTCACCCCCCAATTAAAATAATCTCAACAAGTTTCATTGTTCTATTTATATCCAAGTATATAAAGTACATTGACTTTATTCCCCCTGCTTTACCCTCCCTATTTACCCTCTCCCTCCCACTAGTACTCACCCCCCAACAGGTTCTGTTTTTCAGTCAGTTCTCCTATTTTAAGCTTCCCACCATAACTGGAATGGCAGGAGTACACCACCACACCCAGCTTTTTTTCCATTTTGAGATGGAATCTCATGAATTTTTTGCCTAGGCTAGCCTTAAACCATGATCTTCCCAATCTCAGCCTCCTAAGTAGCTAAGATTAAAGACGTGAGCCACTGGCATCCAAATTGGATTACGGTGACTTTCTTGACATTGAACTTTTAGTTTATATCAAAATACTCCGACTCTCTATTTAACTTAAAATTGTGGAATGTTTACTTTGATGGTCCAAAAACAAGCAATCAAGAGAAGGAAGAAGTATCTGTCAGTGAGAATCATTGTGCTCAAGTTACTGCCAGGAGTTTCTGGATTTTATTTATGTTGTTTTATTAAGAGTCTTACAAAATCAGAGACTTTTCAGCCAGGTACACGGAGGGAGAGTTGGAGGGGTGGAAAGTGACGTGCGGCTCCGTGGACAGGGTGTAGAGAGCAATAGTCATTAGCAAAGGCTTTTGCCAGGTGTAGGCTCCAACTGCCGTGGGACATGATTAGATGTTCTTATCTGACCCTGCTGATGACCTAGAATCAGAAAATCAAGCAGTCATGGAAGACACCTGTTTATGAGGGGCTAGGCACCGTATGATCAGTGAAGACTGTAATGCACGGGTACTGGGAACTTCTCGTACATACAGATTTTTCTTCAGTGCAGCGTGTGGCTGGCTGACTCCCGCAGTCTTACATACGAAGGGTAGAGTTGCTGTGCCTTTCATTGTTCTCAGCTAGGGCTCCTGGCCAGAGGATCCAGGTCGGCTGTTTGAATTCTTAACGTTTATTTTACTGACCCACCCCACAGCATACAGAACAGGTGACACTCATTATTGTTAAAGCCTCTTTTCTTTTACTTTCTTGATACCACATTCACCAAATTTCTCTCTCTCTCCTCTCTGGCAGTACTGGTTTGAAACTCAGAGCCTCGAGTTTGCTAGACGGTGCTCTACCACTTGAGCTTCAGCTCTTTTTCTGCATAGGATCTTGTGTTTTTGCCTAGGCCAGCCTAAACTACAATCCTCCTGTTTACGCTTTCTGTATAGCTGGAATAATGGCATATGCCACCACACCCAGTTTTTTGTTGGTTGAGATGGGGTGTCGAGAACATTTTTGCCCAGGCTGGCCTCAAAGTATGATCCTCCTGATCTCCACCTCATGGGTAGCTAGGATTAGAGGCATTAACTACCATGCCTAGTTTCTCTTTTTTATTCAGTGCACTTTACTGATGCCTTTTCTATCAGATCTGTAAATTTATATGATGCTATTTTTCTTTAAAAGATTTAGATATAAAACACAGACATGGTAATCCCATGCCTCTAATCCTAGCACTTGGGAGGCTGAAGCAGGAGGATCTTAAATTCGAAGCTAGCCTGGGCTACAAAGTGAGAGCCTGTTTCAAATGAAAAAGACAAAAGATTATTAGATAGAGTACTTGTTGCTATAATAGGTGAGGATTCAACTCACCTCTTTTCCTCCCAAAGCTATATATCTGTCGTTCTCTTGTTGGTAGTTTTTTAATGTATAACTAAATCTCTGTTTTATTTGCTAGAGTAGCTGTCAAGTCTGCACTGTGAAAACAAGTCTGCTCCTTCTTTTCCTCCCACTGTGTCCTCTGCACCTTCTCCCACTAGATTCTTCTAGTTTCACTTGTGCTCCTTTGTTTGACCTCTTGGTTGTTTAAGAGTATGGAGTTTAATTTCCACATATTTGAAAATTCCAGATTTCTTCTGCTACTGATTTCTAGTTTCATCCATTGTGATCACAGAAGATATTTTGTGTGAGTTTAATTTTTTTAATTTATTGAGACTTGTTTCATGGCTTGACCTAAGGTCTATCCAGAGAGTATCCCATGAGCTGAGAAGAGTGTGCCTCCTCTGTGGCTGGGCGGAATATTCTATATAAACCCATTATGTTTCGCTGGTTTATAGCATTTGTCAAGACCTCTGTTCATTGATCTTTTGTCTATTTTCCTGTCTGTCATTTCAAGTCGGGTAGTTAGGTCTTCAACTGTCATTATAGAACTGTGTCTTCACTCAATCCCATCTGTTTTTGCTTTGTATACTAGGTTCAGGTACATATATGTTTATAACTGTTATACCTTCCCTATGAATTGTTCTTTTCCAACATAAAATGTCCTCTTCTATCTCTTGGAACAATTTTTGACTTAAAATCTACTTTGTATGGTAGCAGTAGTACCACAGCTCTCTTCTCATTACTGTTTGCCTGGAATATTTTTTCCATCCTTTCAATTTTAACCTCTCTGTGTCTTTTAATCTTGTAGACACATATGCTTGGATCTTTTTTTTT